GGGGGGCAGGGAGCCGCTGGTTCCTCTCGCCTTGTCCGCCCTCAGTCTCTTTCTCCACCACCGCCCGGCATGTTCTGCTCATGTAAAATCAGAACAATTAGAGAGTAATGAATTCTCTGGAACAGTAACTCCTACAGACTCTCAGATCTGCCCTCGCACCAGCGCCTCCCAGCCCTCCTTCCCAGCAACTCGGCAAGACTATAGAAGACCCTCAAAAATCAGCTCCGACTTTAACCTCGCTTGCATCCCGACAGTTTAAAAAGGAATCCTTGAGTGAGTGTGTAAAGTGAGTGTATAGTTGTCGTCCCCCCCGCTCCCCACCTCCCGACTACGCTGGTATTATAGTGAAGCTTTGCTCTTAGAAGAATAGGGTTTAGGAATCTTTATCTCCCACGGAGTTTGCAGTCCGGCTTAACGATTATGCCTCAAGCGCTCCAAAGCATCTCGTGTACCTTTTATTTAAACCCCTTGCGTGGAGTCACCAAACTACTCTACAAAACATCTCGCATTCTTGGTTGTCTAGTGTGTATGGGGAAGTTGAAAGGAACCGCTCCGGGTTGCTGCCTGGATAGCCACCTAGTCTCATAGCCCCACGTGGCCCCTAGGAGGTGCTAGTGAAATGTGGATAGATTTTCATTTTGCCTCACTGAGCCTGTCTCTTTTCCTAGCTGGGAGCAAGACACTTTAGGAGGGTGTGGAATAGGTCATGTAAGCCCTGCGACTGTTTTGATAGCCAAATGGTATTTCGTTTGTTGGGACTGCATTTACACCACGTCCTGCTACTGAGGGTTGCCTTTTAAAACTTTGTATAGCAGGATACTGTCTCCCACAAGGGAGGTGGATCTCCTTTATCAAATATTAGGGCCTGTATTGTTTATAAATAGTTTGGATTAAATCTGCAATGAAGATGACTATGTTAGTACCCAGGGTGTAGCCCAAATCTAGAGACAGGGGTGGGGGTAACTCTTCATTCGCCAAGACATAGACGAGTTACCAGCTCATTTACGCATTTAGTATTTTTTTAATCTTTCTTCTGTGTTGTGAGTCACTGCAAAGTAGATAGTGAAGAATTTTCCAAACCATATGAACACCCCAGCCCCTGCCCCCACAGGTAAGGCTTTCTGTTTGAAATAGTTCTGCTACCCAGTAAAGGTAAGTATTTTCTAGAATCTTGGTTTGCAGTTGTTTTAATATTCTACCCAGTAAAGTGAATAAACACCAGACCGAGACAGTTTTGTAGAACAGGAAGATGAGTAAACAAACAAGCACACTATTCCATGCTTTTGTTTATATGCATACATTTATCTGAGGAAGAATATAAAATACAGGCACTGGTCTTTCTGTCAACTACCCATTTTACTCTCACTCCTTGCCCAGGGTCTGGATGAATGACAGGCAGGCCTCAATGTAGGTATCTTGGAGGAGAAAGTTCAGGAAAATTAGATTTTTATGAGCATGTTCTCTTCATTGTTTAGTTAAACAAACATGAAGGATTTAATTTTGACTAAAATGTTTTCAAGTATATGATAGATAGATTTGCATATCTCCCTTGCATTTAAAACAGAAAGTAACTGTGCATTTTAATTTAAAAATGGCTTTTTACTGTCCCTATTAGGAAAATTCTAGGCTGCCAAAACATTAGGACTTGGATAAATATGCTCTTTTTTGGAGCAGTGAGTGATACAGATTTCTGTAGTCAGTCTACCTTTTTGGCTGACTCAGGCCTTATTTAGCACACACACACACACACACACACACACACACACACACACACACACACACACCATTAGTTTTGGAAATTGTGGCAGTAGGGTGTTGGGATCCATCTGTGGATTAAAATTTTCCAAGGAAACAACAGTTCAGCTCTTACTGACTCCCTCCAGAGCAACGACCTATAATTTCGGACTGATGTTAGTCAGACTCTATATGAGAAGTTCGATTGTGCCTGACCATGTGACACAGAGAGCAGCTGTCTCACTAGAAGCATAAATCTTTCCTTCACACTTATCTTAGGAAGTAGAAACACATTTAGATCTCTATTGATAATATATGTTCACATAAATCCTTCAGTCATGAGAAAACAGGTCCTTGGGTTTGCTTCTACTCCATAATAAGAACCGTTAACTTGTAATGATGATGATGATACAAATGATAGATCATCAGTTTGGCTTACAATATAGACAGACTATACCTGTCATCTAGTGGTATTAGACAAAGCCACCTAAAGTGGTACTTTAGAGACTGAATGGAATCTTTATCAGAAAACCTCTTTGTCTTTGAAAATTAATCAGTATTACTTGCCATTCTGAGCCCACTTACTCTTTATATTGATTTTGATAGACAGACTTTTAAAATAACTACTCAGCACCTAGTCAAAATTTTTTTCTTTTTCCCCTAAGGTTTTTAAAGTTTTTTTTTTTTTTTTGTTTTGTTTTTTTGCTTTAAATGCCAGACAACAATTAAGTAAAGCACTTAAATGATCCAATGATGGAAACAAACAAACAAACAAACCCCACAAAATATATTGTCGTATGCATTGGTATGGAGGATACTAAAAAACATACCAAAAAGGCAAACTTGCTGCCTGATTGTGTTAATGTCCTCATGTACGATGATGTCCAGCTCTTTCTATGTTGGTGAAATTACAAGTGTAATCGTGAATTTGGAGTATTTCATCCTCAATGAGTGTCTCTATCTATTCAGAGGCATTGTAAGAGTGAATGTACTCCATAAGCATTCTCTGTTATGTACCACAGTGGAGAAGCTTTTGCTGATGGTGCAGGCTGCATCTGCCATATCTGAGACCACAGCATCTTATATCATAGCTTTCCTGAAGAAATTTGGCTGATTAAAATTGTTTTCTCTGCATTATTTTATCTAGTTCTCTGATTACTAACACTCTGATCCTGACTCTCATATAGCATATTTTGCTCTGTTTACACTCCTGAAAGTGTATTCCATGTGTTTGTTTATACCTAACAGTAGGTGTGTTTCAGAATCCATTTGTTATGTCATTTTACTTCTATGTTCTCGTTGGTTTGTACTTAGACAAGTATGTGAGTTTCTCTCCACAAAAGTCAGTTTCTTGATGAAATGAACAGAAAAAAAGAATTTTTTTAAAAAATGGCTTGTTTAGTGAGTAACTCAGTGTTATGGTTTGAATATGAGATGTCTTCCATAGCTCATATGTGGAAGATGTGGTCCTTAGCTGGCAGGAGGGGAGGCTTCAGAAGGAGGGACCTAAAACAAAATAGGATTCCCTCTAAACTCTATGCATTTAATAGTAAGCATTTTTGTTTAAGAACATATATATATATATACATATATATGAGCATTAGCTTGCATGAATATATGTGCACCATGTGCAAGCAGGAGCCTGTAGACTCTAGAAGATGATATTGAATTCCCTTGAACTAGAGTTATAGGCGGTTATGCATTGCTATGTATAGACTGGGGACTGACCCAAAGCCTTCTGCACAAGTAACTCAGTGTTACAGTTTGAATATGAGATGTCCTCCATAGCTCATATGTGGAAGATGTGGTCCTTAGCTGTCAGGAGGGGAAACTTCAGTAGGAAGGACCTCACTGTCATGAAACCATCAAGTGCTCAGTCTCTTTACATCTCTCTGTTTCTGTACACTGTGAGGTGAAGTAGCCTATGTCACATGTTCTTGTTGCCATGACACCCCACCTCACTGCTAGAAGCAAATCCTATGGACTGAGACCATGAGCAAAATTTATGTCAAGTACTTTGTTGCAAAAGGTCATACTGGTATGCTCAATGTGATTATATAACAATTACTATATGCTATCTCATTTTTACCTGCAATACATTGGGCACATCAGAGTGTAGTAAAGTCATTTTCCCTACATTAAATGACTGGACTAAATGTATGCAAGACTTTTTGCATAGCTTTCTGTCACCATCAGGGAGAACCTTCACTTCACAATTTCTCTTGTGTCAGTGTGCTGTGAATATCTCTGGCTAGAACCATGCTGTGTCATACTTCTTGATTCTAATCTCCACTGGGCTGAGACATTATATAACCAAGATTGTTTAAAAATATATGGTGAATAAAAACAAATATGATCTAACAAGTCTAAAGATGTATTTTTTAAATAGTCTGAACAGATGCTGAATTTCAAGTTACCTTATTTTGGTCAGTGTTCTGGATCTATCTGAGACATCCATTTTAGCTTTGCACAGCAATTAAAATGCCTTGGTATTTGTTACGTTGAGAATAGTGAACAGTCCAGGAAGATCTCTGAGTAAAGAGGTGTCTGTGTGTTTATAACTATTTGGGTGTTAATAGGTGCATGTGTAGCTCAACCATACTTATTCTTTTTAGCAAATGCC